TTAGAGATTATAATAAGAGTATTAATATCTCAAACTAGCCAAAATTTCGGCCACTTCCGGTTAGCGGTTTCCGAGATATCAGGTTACCACACATTTCATGTGGCACGGCTACAGACCACAATTATCAACCGATTTTAACGAAACTTACAGATTATAATAACATTAATAATATCTCAAACTAGCCAAAATTTCGGCCACTTCCGGTTAGCGGTTTCCGAGATATCAGGTTACCACACATTTCATGTGGCACGGCTACAGACCACAATTATCAACCGATTTCAATGAAACTTACAGATTATAATAAGAGTATTAATATCTCAAACTAGCCAAAATTTCGGCCACTTCCGGTTAACGGTTTCCGAGATATCAGGTTACCACACATTTCATGTGGCACGGCTACAGACCACAATAATCAACCGATTTCAATGAAACTTACAGATTATAATAAGAGTATTAAGAGCTCAAACTAGCCAAAATTTCGGCCACTTCCGGTTAGCGGTTTCCGAGATATCAGGTTACCACACATTTCATGTGGCACGGCTACAGACCACAATTATTTACCGATTTCAATGAAACTTACAGATTATAATAAGAGTATTAATATCTCAAACTAGCCAAAATTTCGGCCACTTCCGGTTAGCGGTTTACGAGATATCAGGTTACCACACATTTCATGTGGCACGGCTACAGACCACAATTATCAACCGATTTCAATGAAACTTACAGATTATAATAAGAGTATTAAGAGCTCAAACTAGCCAAAATTTCGGCCACTTCCGGTTAGCGGTTTACGAGATATCAGGTTACCACACATTTCATGTGGCACGGCTACAGACCACAATTATCAACCGATTTCAATGAAACTTACAGATTATAATAAGAGTATTATTATCTCAAACTAGCCAAAATTTCATGTGGCACGGCTACAGACCACAATTATCAACCGATTTCAATGAAACTTACAGATTATAATAAGAGTATTATTATCTCAAACTAGCCAAAATTTCGGCCACTTCCGGTTAGCGGTTTCCGAGATATCAGGTTACCACACATTTCATGTGGCACGGCTACAGACCACAATTATCAACCGATTTTAACGAAACTTACAGATTATAATAACATTAATAATATCTCAAACTAGCCAAAATATGTCGAAAACCGCTAACCGGAAGTGGCCGAAATTTTGGCTAGTTTGAGATATTATTAATGTTATTATAATCTTTAAGTTTTATTGAAATCGGTTGATAATTGTGGTCTGTAGCCGTGCCACATGAAATGTGTGGTAACCTGATATCTCAGAAACCGCTAACCGGAAGGGGCCGAAATTTTGGCTAGTTTGAGATATTATTAATGTTATTATAATCTGTAAGTTTCATTGAACTCGGTTGATAATTGTGGTCTGTAGCCGTGCCACATGAAATATGTGGTAACCTGATATCTCGGAAACCGCTAACCGGAAGTGGCCGAAATTTTGGCTAGTTTGAGATATTAAGACTCTTATTATAATCTGTAAGTTTCATTGAAATCGGTTGATAATTGTGGTCTGTAGCCGTGCCACATGAATTGTGTGGTAACCTGATATCTCCGAAACCGCTAACCGGAAGTGGCCGAAATTTTGGCTAGTTTGAGATATTATTAATGTTATTATAATCTGCAAGTTTCATTGAAATCGGTTGATAATTGGGGTCTGTAGCCGTGCCACATGAAATGTGTGGTAACCTGATATCTCGGAAACCGCTAACCGGAAGTGGCCGAAATTTTGGCTATTTTGAGATATTATTAATGTTATTATAATCTGTAAGTTTCATTGAAATCGGTTGATAATTGTGGTCTGTAGCCGTGCCACATGAATTGTGTGGTAACCTGATATCTCCGAAACCGCTAACCGGAAGTGGCCGAAATTTTGGCTATGCTGAGATATTATTAATGTTATTATAATCTGTAAGTTTCATTGAAATCGGTTGATAATTGTGGTCTGTAGCCGTGCCACATGAATTGTGTGGTAGCCTGATATCTCCGAAACCGCTAACCGGAAGTGGCCGAAATTTTGGCTAGTTTGAGATATTACTAATGTTATAATAATCTGTAAGTTTCATTAAAATCAGTTGATAATTGTGGTCTGTAGCCGTGCCACATAAAATGTGTGGTAACCTGATATCTCGGAAACCGCTAACCGGAAGTGGCCGAAATTTTGGCTAGTTTGAGATATCATTAATGTTATTATAAGCTGTACGTTTCATTGAAATCGGTTGATAATTGTGGTCTGTAGCCGTGCCACATAAAATGTGTGGTAACCTGATATCTCGGAAACCGCTAACCGGAAGTGGCCGAAATTTTGGCTATTTTGAGATATTATTAATGTTATTATAATCTGTAAGTTTCATTGAAATCGGTTAATAATTGTGGTCTGTAGCCGCAGGGCTATTTTGACATTCTTGCTTACCACATGTGGCAAATAGCCACTGCCAATAACTATTTTATGTTCAAGGTCCATTTCCAGTGGATTTCACGGAAGAAAGTTATGAATCCTTTACTTATTTTAACTAATAACTTGTGTCATCAAGTCCATTCGAAACGGTTTTTTTTGTTGGTGGGGGGGGGGCGAATGGTTAGCACGTGCGCCCTGTATCATAAGGTCTGTCATTGAGTCAACTGACGTGGTTTCGATTCCCCGGTTGTACGTAGGGTCGCCTGTCCAACCTCGGGAATTTCTCCCGGTCCTCCAGTTTCCTACTAAAGACCCTTACGCACAAGCACATGATTGAAATAAAACTGAATGATGTGTTAGTCCCGAAATGACCTAGTTTGAATCGACGAAACGTGCATGAATATGGTTTTATAAATGTAACTGGGATGAAAAATGAGGACCCGAGTGCACGTAAAAGAACCCAGTTGGAATTCGATGAGTAGGTCGTAGCGCCGATGTCCGGGCAAAATTTCCCTCATAGCACACTGCATTGCATTTCAATATAAATGTAACCACTCGGAATTCATTAGAAGCTCAATCCACTTAACCCTAGTCTAGATCTTATATCGCGAACCATGCTCTATCGCAGCTTGCGGGGATGACGTCAATTATTAAGCTTTGGTAACCGAGTCTCACGAAGCTAAATGCAGACTCATGATATATCAAATTCAATTCGCCTCATGATCTCTTCAGCATATATGTACATCATAATCACCCTAAAGACTTCTTCGACTTCAGCGAAATCATGAATAAGATTGTCAAAAACACTAGTTTTATATATATTTTTAACGGTGTTTGTTCTCTATTATTCCGACGATCTCTTATGATAAGCGCGGAGGGTGGTGTTTTTATCCGGGAGATAAGCCAGAATGCATCAATTCACGTCCACTTTTACCCCAGGCCCACCACTTTAAATGCCTTAAAATACCTTGCAAATGAATCATTAGTGGGGTGTATTTTCGACAGGTAACATATTAAGCTAACATCTGAAACCAATGTGGTCATTATGATAGCAGTTTGTTGTCACTGACAATCTAACTTACGCGGGGCTTTAATGTTGAAACAATGATAGCAAAACAATTTTGTTCTCAAATTTTCGTTTGTCTCGATAATCCAGTCAGATCATCCTGTATAGAAGTAATATACTACCTAATATTCCCATGACCTATATTATACGCTTTCGTAGCATATAGCTATTTTTCGGTCTAGACGCACACAGGCGTATTTTATAATTCATTTAAAAAGAAAATTGTTTAAAATTTGGAATTGAATTCCAAAATCTTCAGAAATGCTTATTAGATCTACTTGGAATTTCCAAAAATCTATTCAGAAAATCTGTGTCTATTGAAGTAGTTTCCCCTAGTCAGTGGTGCAGGTTGAAGGGTCTGGCATGGAAACGGTTACTACCCCAACCAGTCTTTTAACTTGAATTTGTGTTTAAAAACCACCAGAAACAACGTGTAGATTTTATCCCATATTTTCTGATTTCGTGGAAAGTGTGAACAAGAATATACCTATGTCTTTAAAGATAAAAACTATTTTCAAGATTTCAATTAATTCGTCCTGCCAGTCTGAAAATGTTTGTGACAGTAAAGTGTTGGGTAACATTCCTGTATCTCTATATAAACTATACACATATATCAACATGTATCTATATTTACTAGAAAAATCATATCAATTTTAATTACATTAATATAAACACTGCCACAATACAAAATAGATTTATTGTTTGAGATAAGATGAGTATGCTTTACTCGTCTAAATATAGCCCGTTCGATAAAAATTGGAACAATAACCTCTTTTGCAGAGATAAAGAGAACGAAATGGAATTAATGTCCACTCAATACAAACTAGGTCATTTCGGGATTAACGTCTAATAAGCTTGTGCGTATCTGTCTGGGGCAGTTCACGCAAAGAAGAGAACCCGGTGAAACCTCACGAGGTTGGTAAAGTGACCCTATTTCTCGTCATTTGATTCAATGTTATTATATAAAGCAAACGCGTTAGATAACTCTGTCTATGCTTAGCTGAAAAAGTCCGGTTTCGTTGAAGAATTAAACCTGACGCACATTAACATGATGATATACTAAAACCCTGTCCCGTGTGGCGACTCCTCCGATGATGACCGATTACAAGTAATTCGAATACAGTGGGCTATGGGGTAAATTTTGTCCGGACAGCGGCACTACGGCTATTCTAATTTCGAATCCAAACTGTCCAGTGTTCTGAAACATAGACGCCAATGTGTACACGGGACCACGGCTTTTAGTCCCATCTAAACAACTAGACACTATTTCTTGTCAGGCACTCCTAGTTAGCGAACCAGTGTCTTACTAAGCTACAGCGGCTCCCGCGATTTGACGAACCGATTAACGGACAGAGGGTGACGATAATATTTGACCTTGTTCAATTCTGCTGGACACGAAAATTACCTATTTGCCTAGGGCTTGAATACTGATCAGTCAAACAGCTTCCAATAATAAACACGTACTTTCTAAAAAGATTAGATCTGATTTTATTATCAACTAATAGCAATTTTAGATCATTTTATTCATACAAATATTAATTTGGGGCACTTTTTGAAATACTGTAATATTCTGAGAAATGCCCCAGCAACATAAAAGCCTAAATAGATAAAAGCAATGCAATGTTAAGATTAGAATAAAGAGGCGCAATGTTGACGCAGTAGGAAGAGAAATAATCGTTATCGGATTATTTTATCGCTATGTAGGACGGAGGGAATAACAAGGACTATGCCTAGCCGATCAGATGGACCCCCCCCCCCCTTGGTTCCTCGTACAAGTTGGCGGCACGCAAGATAACCCTTGACAGTTAGAATTCAATGCTGTTCGAGCAAAATTTCCCTCACACCGTATGGTGTATCTTCAGAGGGCCTGACAATGACAGCTGTCTAGTCCTTCGGATGAGACGGAAAACCGAGGTTCCTTGTACACATTGGCGTGCACGTAAAAGATCCCTTGGCAGTTGGAATTCGATATAAGAGTAGGCGATAGTGCCGCTGCCCGGGCAAAATTTCCCTCATAGCACACTGTATGGCGTATGCCCGTCTTCATTAGCCCAGTATAGGAGCAGAACAGTAGGACGTTAAACCCCATTTCATTTCATTTCTTTAGACCGGTAGGTGTAGAAAAGTCAGACGTTTCATTCATTCGTCGTTGTTTGTTGTTTGAACATATCTTTAATATAATCTGTTGTAAAATATTCAATATAAATGTATTTTAATGTATATTAATTTTATTAATATAAAAATATAAAAATTTACTTCTAAAATATATTTATCTAATCAAAAGTTATTTATCGATGAGTTAAACATCTTTTAATCTATTTTAAAATATCAAATCTATATGTACATTGTATATTAATTTTTATCAAAATATAAATATACATACAAAATATGTTTATCTCATCAAACGTCGTTCTGATAAATTAGAACATAAAATTAAACATCATGAAGACATAAAAGTACAATAATAATATATATTTACATGTTTTCGTTCTATTAAAACAGTATCATTGTTTGCAATAAATATAGTTACATTAATCCTGGATTTACTCCAATACTTTACAATTGTTGTTAGCCTTGGTATAAAACAATATAAAAAAACATTTATTAGCATAGTATTGGCTAATATTGTGTTCAAAACAGAGTATGCTTATTCTTTCTGAAACGCACACTTCTTCACTGCCGTGAGATCAGTCAGACCAGCTGCTTCTTAAAATATCATCGATTTAAATATCCATTATTTAACTCACAGAAAACAATTATCAACGTCTCAGAATTGCCAGTAGACTTCATTTTATAAATAGAGCCAATTATAAAAAAGGTGCAACATAACGCTATGTATAGGTTTACCGGGTGAAAACAGTGTCAATTTTTAAACTAACCACAGCACTTTTAATCCGAATCCAAAAGTTTCACAGCGGCCATAGTGGCAAATCCTACACCAGCAATAAATATGTTCCATATACCACGCCCGTGTGTAAAAGCCTCTTTCAATATTTCGAAGAAAGTCACATATAGAAATGTTCCAGACGCGACTCCTTGTAGCACTGCTGCTGTCATAGTTTGTGCTGCTTCATTTATATTAGCTGACGTAACCAAAATTCCAAGACCTATCCCGATTGGGGACATAATAGAAAACAGTGCGACAAGAATTGCAGCTGTTCGGAAACGTCGTGTATATGCCTGGAACAGTTGAAGACCAAGACAGAATGCTACCAAAGCTTTGTGTATACTGATAGCAGCTAAAACCTGCCACACGTCGGTATCCATGTCTTGAAGACCAATTGCCAAACCGTCAAAAATTGTATGGAAGGACAATGCGACCAGCAACAAAACTGCACGTACGGTGGATGTTTTTGCTAACTGGTCAAAGTCATGACCATGCTCATGGTTATGTGCATGATGGAGAATATTTGTTACGTTAGGGGTAACAACTTCCCCCGTTCTTGGATGAGCTGTATGATTATCACTGTTGTTGTTATTATTGTTTGTGCTAATATCTCCTGTGTACGTATGATTAACTAGAGTTATCCCATTTGATCTAGGAGCCTGTTCGACTACGGGGCGCTTTGATTGGTTTTCAGTAATAGCACCGTAAGCTAGTGTACTCACAGACGGGTGTGCATTTGGATCCATAAAAGCTCCGTTTACCTCTCCGTCTGGGGCGGTCACCGTTGAATTTTGCTTCGGTTTCCCGTCTTCCAGAACGATGCTAGTTGATTCGTGAAGACATAGCTCAGCAACAAAATCCACCAACACAATGGCAAAAAATCCCACAGCGACTATTACTTCGAACAAAGGATACTTTATTTCTTCCAGATCGTACAGTGTGAAGGCTTCCTCGAGTTCCTCTCTACCTTCATCCATGAGATGTAGCAGACATGCTCCCAAAAATACCCCCCCAGAGAAAGCATTAAACACTGATAGGATTATGTCCCCTCGTCTCCCAAGGCCTTGGGCCCTATTTCTACGCCTAATAATGAAGTATGGGAGACTTCCTAATATTAAAGAAATCACTAGCACTATAATCAGAGAAATCAATTTAGCGACTAAAATTGCCTCCATATTTGGTGTTAAACAATATTAGTAAAAGTAGATTTTACCGAAACTATCCTCGTAGTAACTGTCCTAATGTATGATGGACGTTTTAGTTTGCTCTGTAGATACGTTCGCTATACCATTGGATAGTCTGAAAGGGAAAAAAAGATCGTATTTATGTACCTTTTATACAACCAACCATGAAAGCTATTAGTGATGTTGGTATGACTCGAAAGATAATAGAATGTGCAATGTGAAACATACATATCTTACAGACTTTGGTTGGTCAAGTACATGTGAATCATGTGAGATAAGGGCAATCTGATATCATGTTAGACTCAGTCTTCAAGTACATTGTATCTAGATTTGACAACCGCTTTAATGACAGATTGTAGGTATACATTTAAGAAATTCACCATCTAGATAAATGAATTGCACAAGAGATTTAAGATATAAATTTAAGAAATCCAGTCAGTATGTTACAGGTAAAATTAGTGGTACTATAAATTTAAATTTACTTCCACGGTAATGCGACTCTTTATTTTTCTCTTTTCCAATATTATAGCAACCACCCCAACCTGGTATCTCGTCAGGCTGTTAGCCGAGTGGCTGGATCATCTGGTCTAAGTTATAGCAAACATAATCTCGTTTTCACATAGCAAGTTTTCAAAATATGACAGTCAACATGTGAAGGCACAGTCAGGGGTGGATCCAGGAATTTTTGCAGGAGGGGGGGGGGGGGTGCCCGGTACCTGAGACAATGTATCTTTGGGGAGTGGGTCCCCCGTCCTTGAAACTTTTTGAGAAATACATGGCTACTATCGTCATTTTGGCGTATATACATCCAACACCCCGTTTTTATTATGAATTAATACCAGGACATTGTGATTCAATTTCATTGATGCAAAGCATTAATTGTGGAAAATGAAATGGGTTTTAACGTCCTACTGTTCTGCTCCGAACTGGGCTAATGAAGACGGGCATACGCCATACAGCTTCTTACCCACTTAGCCACGTGATCCCCCATTAATTGTGGTATCACATATCATTACTTAGCACTTTGAATACCACTCCCATCCCACCATATGATGATAAAGGATAAAGCACACGACCGTGACATATTTCTCATAAAAATTTTAATTTTACAAATTTTTTATGTAACAGAACCCCCCCCCCCCCCACTTTGAACCGCCCCTGACATCTAAAGTACACAGGCACGTTATCTTCCGAAAGCTATTTCTAGATAACACTACGAACACATTACAGAGTTGTTAAGTAACTTATATAACTCAAGTTTTATATTTAATCCGTTTTCTTTTCATACATAATGTTTCTGCCAATAATTCGTAACATTGATTTATTATACTCGGACAACTCATTACGGGGATATATACCTCTTATGGGTCGCATAAATAACGTGTGGTAACAATGTTATCAATATTCAAATTAGAATGTATTCAACTCCGACAACCCATTGCTGGGATACATATATACCTTTTATGAGTCACATAAATGACGTGTGGTAACAATGGTATTTTAGATGAAAAAAAACATATTCTAGCACTATATCTGACTTGAAAATATTAAAGTTCTACAGTGCGATAGTGTTAACGTTGGGACTAAAAGCAATTTGCATCGTCACTAGTCCCAAGAATACAACAAACATTTGCTAACCCTCCGAACTCTACAAATAATCGGTGATGCCATAATATATTTTATAAAGAGGGTTAGCATGCCCTACCCCATGCCACTTCTAGCTATTATCCGGAAGAACAGGTTTACCTTAGTAAATAAATATATACAAAATACTTACACAATATCAGTAATAATTATTCCACTATGTAAAACTATAAAACCAATGCCCCAATGTTGTTCGTTGACAGTGGAAATCATGCCCACCAAATTGCAATTGAAAGAATCGTGGCTACATTTTCAAATGTATTAATCCGTGTATTGTTCAACAACAAAAGAAAACTTGTAAATGACAAGTAAGAAACAAAACACAGAGTGTTATAATACATAAAGACGGAGCGATTCACATGACTTTAAGATAAGTAAAAAGCCTTAAGTGTCGTTGCACAGCACGCACCTAATCATCACTGTCTTTATCATTAAGACAGGTTCACAGTTTACTCCACACACAAGTTGACCTTTATGGCAAAAAATGGCCGAGGTAATTAGATTCTAACGTGTTTTGTGACCCCAAGGTATATATACATGTACGTAGCTAATTACGTGTACAGCTGTCAATCAGTAATTTTTAAAAAAAATTTATTAGTGGATATTCGTTTAGTACATACTAAATCACAGTAATTAATTTTTACTCATCTTGTTATGAATATTTTAATCTATCAGTATATAAATATACTTATGATATGGATCTCTATAATTTAGCTGTCTGCGATATATCACCCTTCAGTAGAAGTGGGTATTAAACTCTACAAACAACCTATAGTTTAGATTAAAATAAAATGTTGGATTGGGTCAATTCGATTAGTGGTAGGTCAAACCCGACCTCTTGACATGGCAATAACCTGTTTCCTTAGGGCTAAGGTCCTAATCAGTAATCGTCTTCAACAGCAAGGATGGAGCAGAAAAGTATGGAAGTCGAGAGTTAACAACGAGAACGCAAGAGATAATAATTGCGAAGCCATGAAGCCGAATCACTTCCTATTAGCCTTGTGCCTTCGTGCATAGCGAAGCGATGCCGCAACAGGATGAGATTAGAACGATTTGTAGCTTCTTTTTGGCTTCGCCTTCGCACTGATTTAACGCGGAGGCTTCCATACTAATCAGTCACATATAACATACCTGTATTTTTAACGCGTGCAGTCAATCACACGATAAGATACCTAAAAAAATAAAAAAATAAATAAAATAAAAACAAACCAGCAAATAAATCAAAACTAATAACTCAATGAAATGTTCAAATAAAAACAAGTACTACGTTAACCCTGTAGAAATAAAACCAGATTTGATTTCGTTATCATTGTAACAAATCAAAACGTTTTGTATTCATCTTATCATTCGGCATAAATTAGGCACTACCCCATTAATCATGTGTTATTCAATGAGATTATGTTGAAAATTTTCGCCCATTTTCACATTTAGGAACGTCTTTGTTGTTGATAAACGTTATCTATACAATTACACAGCTCTTACGCAACGTCTGTATGCTTGTAATCATGTGATCTGATACACAATTGATTAAACGATGAGTTAAACATCTTTAATTTGAAATATCAAATTTATTTCTTTTTTTCAGAATAAAGATATCCATATAAATATATATTAAGGTAGATAAAGTACGCGTACTTTTATGTTTACGGTAGATAAATACATAAATAAATAAAAAAAATACACTAAGTTAAAAATATCAACCACTTTACTTCATTCTGATATACATCAAATCATAAATTGGCTATCTGCTCTTTATCGAGCGTCATCAGATGCTATAATGTATGTGTATAATTTATCAATATAGAACTATACTTATAAAATGTATTTATTTTATATATACAAAGACATTTGGATTAAAAATGACATTAAACATGAAAGTTTTTACGATAAAATTTTTTTTATTATTCCGAGAGTTCAGCTTTAATCCAATACTTTACAAAGGTTGCTAGCTTCGGATGTTTGTTTCGTTTCAAACCCATGTTTTATTAGCACATATTGGCGAGTCTTGCGTTCTACACAGAGTATGATTATTCTTTCTGAAACATCTGATGCCACTCCACTACCTATTCAGTATCTATTTCATATATTTGTTTCATGCCAGAGATGTTCACTCAGTTGTATTAATATCCACCATTCGATAAAAATAACGACTGTATTTAGAAAATTGGTTAAAACTGTAACTGTAATTTGCAAATATCGTAACGTAATTTGTGTTAACCCCATGTAGTAAATTTGACTTGGAACGAGAATGCTGCCTGTCAGGTTGGCTATTTTTATCACCTACAGAAATATGTCAACCACCTTTGTTACAAAGGTCCAGCGTATGTAAAATGGCCAATTTTAAATTACACTACGACGGCACTTTTAATCGGAATCCAAAAGTTTTACAGCGGCCATGGCGGCAAATCCTACACCAGCAATAAATATGTTCCATATACCACGGCCGTGTGTAAAAGCCTCTTTCAATATTTCGAAGAAAGTCACATATAAAAATGTTCCAGACGCCACTCCTTGTAGCACTGCTGCTGTCATAGTTTGTGCTGCTTCATTTATATTAGCTGACGTCACCAAAATTCCAAGACCTATCCCGATGGGGGACATAATAGAAAACAGTGCGACAAGAATGGCAGCTGTTCGGAAACGTCGTGTATATGCCTGGAACAGTTGAAGACCAAGACAGAATGCTACCAAAGCTTTGTGTATACTGATAGCAGCTAAAACCTGCCATACGTCGGTATCCATGTCTTGAAGACCAATTGCCAGACCGTCAAAAATTGTATGGAAGGACAATGCGATCAGCAACAAAACTGCACGTACGGTGGATGTTTTAGTTAACTGGTCAATATGAGCATGGTGGAGATTGTTTGTAACGTTAGATCTGGCGACTTCATCTGTTATTGAAGGAGCTCTATGATTATCACTGCTGTTGTTATCACTGTATATGATAGCATCACCATTGTACGTATGATTAGTGAGAGTTACCCCTTTTGATTCAGGAGGGCGAAAAACTACGGGGTGCTTAGATTGGTTTTCAGTAATACCAACACACGATAGTGTACTCACGGACAGATGTGTATTTGGATCCACAAAAGCTCCGTTTACCTCTCCGTCTGGAGCGGTTACTGTTGCATTTGACTTACGGTTTTCGACTTCCAAAGTGATGCTAGTCGATTCATGCAAACATAGCTCGGCAACAAAATCCACTAATACGATGGCAAAAAATCCCACAGCGACGATTACATCGAACAAAGGATATTTCATATCCACTAGATCGTACAGTTTGAAAGCTTCCTCGAGTTCCTCTCTGCCTTCATCCATTAGATGGAGTAGAGATGTTCCTAGAAATACACCCCCAGAGAAGGCATTAAACACAGATAAGATTATGTCCCCTCGTCTCCCAAGACCCTGGACTCTCTTTCTACGCTTAATAATCAAATATGGAAGATTCCCTAATATTAACGAAATCAATAGTACTATAACCAGAGAAATTAATTTAGCGTCTAAAATTGCCTCCATGCTTAATATTTGATGTTCCAGGTTGTTAGTAGACTGGCAATTTGTAGGTTTCTCCGAAATCTATCCAATTTTTCTATTTCCCCATAAATCCAAAACATAAAGTTCGCTATCTTTTACGTTCGTGTGTATGTACTACATTTTGTCTTGCTCTTTAGTTTTTTCTTCTTAATATCTGCTTCTGAAAGGAAAACATTCCAGGTATAAGCATTGATGGTATGACCGAAAGATAATAGAATTTGCAATGTGAAACATACATATTATACATATCTAACAGACTTTGGTTGGCCCCAGACTTACTAACTACCCCCCCCCCCCCCGACGGTGTTAAGGAATTATATGATCTTAACAAGAACAAAAAGGAGATCACCATAATACCATTTTCAAACTGGTATGATGAGGACATTAAGAAAGTCAAGATAGAACGCAGGGTTGTAAAACGCCGATGGCGTGGGTTCAATCTGGAGGTTCACAAGTAAAAAAAGAAACAACTTTTTATGGAATGCTTAAGCCCCTTGTTGTATTGACTGCATTTCTTCTATTGGCAATGCCTCTATGAATTTCAATAGGTTTATGCAATCTCTGCTCGATGTTCAGTCAAACTCAAAACATCCTGATAAAACTACCTTTTCTAATTTCTTTATGTCTAAGACTTCAAAAATAAGAAGTTTGTTGGGCAATATAAGTAATAATTATTAAAGTTAAATAAATACAGAATACTTACACAATATCAGTAATAATTATTTAATATTTATAAATAAATGTATATAAATATCAGTAATAATTATTCTACAAAGTAAAACTTATCCTCGAATACTGTTTGACACTGGTAATATTCCCACCAAATTGCAATTAAATAAATTGTGGCTACATTTTTAAATAAATTATTCCGTGTATTGTTCAACAACAAAAGAAAACTTGTGAATGACAAGTAAGAACGAAACTAACAATGTCATAATGCTAAAAAAAATGAGCGATTCACATGACTTTAAGATAAGTAAAAAGCCTTAAGTGTGGTTACACAGCACGCATCAGAATCGTCAGCGTGTTTAGTATTAAGACATGTTCACAGTTTACTCCACTCATAAGTTTACTGTTGTGGCAAACCATTATATTATGTTATTATGGCGATACTGATATCGTTGTACTATGCCATCCCATTATTTTAAACTAAACGTATTATACTATACAAATCCATGTTTGTGTAAGATTTATTACAAGAGTTCCTACGACAGTTTGTAATATGCCATTTTTCTAATAGTTTTTTAATTTAGTCGAAAATGTCAAGAGAAATTTATTACTTAAATAAATATATGCGAAAATAAAATGAAAATTTTGAAGCATATTATTGTCCTGCATATTGTCAGTGAAGCATGTAACATAACTACGACACTTGGAAAGCAGGAACCCCCTGCGTCATAAAAGCATGTTTGGGAAGTCAGAAAAGTTTTAAAATCAATATGTTCACTGTCTGTATTTCACAATGTGATCTGGATATCGACAATTCACTACAACAAGTTTATGACGCGGGGAATGATGGCAGATTGTATGGCAATTAAGTCCAATCCCTTGACAATAAGTGGATTACTGCAAAAACATCAACATACTAATGGCATAAAGGACCGCCAACGTTGTGATAGACCGTAAGGGAAGATGCAGCACTACTGAGACACGTGCGACGTCATCTTTTTGCGCCATGCAAAGCACTATGCTGAATTACCATGTCCTATGTAACTGTTCGTAATTGGCTCATATCGTCTGGATTTGAAGCCAAAAGACCTCTATCAGACGCCCTATCTTGTCACGTGACCATAAAGCTGTACGACTAAAATGGTATCGAGCACGTCAGCATTGGAACATGGCGTCGTGGCGAAAAAAATCACTTATCTGAGTAAAGTGGCGTTCTCGTGTTTATGACGGATGGTAGAGCACGGGTTTGGCGAAGTAGGAACATGGCATATGTACATTATGGGGTTGACTTTCATATGACTGTAAGCTTCCACAGTTAGAGGTGATATCAATGGCCAACGGTACCAAAGAGATATCTTTGACAATCATCATCTTCTCACAAGGCCACTGTCAACCAGAAGCCCTAACCTGAGCTCAATTAAACATATCTGGGATCAACCAGTGCAGAATTTTGATGGTTCAGTGTTTCCCCGAGATTGTTCAGGGAGATTAGACACCTTTCACAACGTAAAAGAGCTAAAATATCAAATCAAACACTATATTCAAATAGGGGTGTTGTGGTAATTTTTCTTTTTGTATATTATGGAGAATGCTACCCTTAATAAATGGTATATTTAAGCAAATTAATATATAACATTTTGAGAATGCTGCCTTTTTTGCTTCAACGTCCGTTCTTGTAGCAATATTGTTATATGTTATTGAGACGTGTTTTGTAAGAACTTTAGTTCAAAGCAAAGAATGGCCGGATTAAGTTTGCAAACGGCCTCTGGCTGAAGATATGTATTATAACAATGTTAAAACATTAAAACTTTTTTCGTAATAATCTTATTTCGCGACAAATTTGAAATAATTTTATTCTAAATTAAATAATAACGATAGGCAATGTTTCATCCCCAATTAGATATTTTTTAAAATTAAAAACTGTAGCCTCTATCGCATTAACAAGCCAGTTGTTGACAGACGGACCGACAGACATTAGTGACGACATAATACGCACACATTTGAAATATGGGCGTATAAAAATGGCCATTTACTTGTTACTAGCAACATCCGATTATATTAGTTTGAAAATAATTTATTTATTTACTAGATATTAAAAATGTCGGGTTTTTTTAGATTTATTGATTAAAGTAATGAAATATACATGATTTATTCTTACTGATAAATCCCAATTTATTGATTAAACTCAATTTAAGATAATCTATAGTCTAGTTATCTGAGTTTATGGATTATTTACTCAATAGAATAACCATCGACTACAGAATAATACCAGTTTATTTGACAACCACCCCGGGAGATTGGCGTAACTGCTTGATGTTAACGTATTCTTAAAAATGTTTAAACACTGCTAAGTTTCTTGAAGGCAAAATTTTCACATAAGATTAATATCCTACCGTACAGCCAGGCCTATTCGAAAGAGCGAGAGAGAGAGAGAGAGAGAGAGCGTTTACTTATTAAAAATATATTACGTTCGTCTACTTATTCAAAATATAATACTTTTGCAGTGGAAGAAAACTGGCGCTCCCAGAATAAAAACTACAGGCCATCCCTTTGTATGTCACGTACAAAAGTGGAAAAGAAACCACGACGATTGAATCGATGACAGATCTCAACGTCTAAAGCGCAGCAGTTGAACCATTTGGCCACATGACCCTCTGCTCCAATATTAGTACTAGATGAGCGCGTCAACATGTCCTTATAGCAAAGCAAAAGTTTCTAAAAAAATGTCCCGAAGCAAATGATATTTAATTAAATATATTTATTTTTTTTACTGTAGAGGAATACGCCCGATGAAACACACCTTTCTATTAATAAACACAAGATTCAGAAAAAAATAAAACACACGCCAATAAAAATATTTATCTTGTTAAATTTAATTTCAAAATATGAAACAGAAGCACGTAATCTTGATATATTTCAATAATAAGAAATCGTCCAATCATTTATTTCAATTTGCAGCAAATACATTCATATTAACTTTTATGATTTCGATATATAAAAGAAATAACCCAGGGCATTTATTTTTCGATTTGGCGATCACGTTATCTTTAATTTTGTTTCGTACTATAAGAAGTAAATCTAAATCAAAAGAGTTCAGCATTAGTGTTAAACTAAACCACACTCGAACGTCGTACATTATGCTAGTCTGGTTTGAATGCATTGATGTTATTAATGTTAAACTAGACCTCTCTAGAACGTCGTACATTATGCTAGTCTGGTTTGATTTTATATTAATATTAAAATATTAAACTAGACCACTCTCTAACGTCAAACATTACGCTTGCCTGGTTTGAATGTATATTAATATTAAACTAGACCATTCTCGAACACCGTACATTGTCATTACATTAGCCTGGTTGGAATGCCCTTTCTCTTCATAAGTTATGAAGACTATTAACGGAATGCGCGACTGAAGAGAGTCTAGGTACATCTTTCTATCTAAGCACCTATATTTTACACAGTCGTCCATTATGAGGCTAGACCCGGATATTTGTGTAAATAGAGGTGTATGTATATATGTGAACAGTGAGAAAACGTGATCATTTTATGTTACAGCCATTAGCATATTGACATTTAAAGGTATTGTACGAATCTTTAAGACTATATAGAGTTATTTGACCTTTGAAATTGACGCCTTTCTGCTAAAATAGGGTATGTTCATTGCTAACCCCACAATAAGCTCACTTTACAAAATTTAATGTGAACATGAATAAAATGCAGTAGGTACTCCTCAAGGTACTGCCCTGGGTCTATCTTTGTGTTTATAAGAAAAGGACCTATCACGAAGTCTTAGGCAGTTGTGTTGTTAAGATTTCGTGATAAATTAGCATTATTCAGGAATTAACTATCATTTTTTTTATATTATATATTCATTTATTAAAGGGGCATTACGTAATATTAGATATTAGATATTAGGTTTCGCTATAATAGTTGAAACATAGATAATGAAAAGGGAATATGTTGCAAATTTCAGTCAAATTACTTCAGCCTGAGCCTAGTTATCGACAATACAATAACACTGTAGCCTCTACTGCCATTTCTACCGTTGTTACGATAATGAATAGTCTCCATTATCCATTTTTACGGTTATTTCATCAACGGCAAAACGTATTCAAATCTTTTATTTATCGGAGCCATTCGCTGGCATAGTTAATTAATGTCTAATTAATAATTTATATAACATTTATGGCATAAAAATACCTGCAATAAGCAGTTTAGCATAATGCATATTTAAACTTACTTACATGCAAATACATGTAATATATTATCACATTTACTTAACCTAAACATTACCCTTTAAACACTTGCTGTATTGCTGTATATTGTTGTAGATAGGAGTGTATTGATGAAGTATTCAAGTTGTAATTAACCTCTTATTTTAATTATATCAGTCAAAAAAGTATAAATCAGTTTTTTTTCAGATAAGAATAGCCTTTGTTTTTACAAATTTGTCTTTTTACATGATTGTTTCTAATCACTTCCTGTATTTTTGTTGTCTAAGTTGTTATTTAAAAGTTAACAAGTCAACCATTACGTGTCATATTAACACTAATGAATTTGCATGGTTTAAAGAGACAAGTCACCGAAGATGAAAAATTGTGTCTGTTTGATAATATTCTTATTACCAGAACAGATTTTGTAGCAGACTATCCCTTTTCTTTGAAAACATATTTCCCTAATCTTCAACATTTCCGCCATTCTAACGTCACGTAAGCTTGTAATAAGACATCGTTTCGTATCTTGTTAGCTGAATTAATCCTTATAGCTTCCGAGCATGTCACGTCTTCAACTTCCGATTAACCTTTGATATTAAGAAGAGACTGATCGACATCGCTTTGTTTTAGATTTACAACATCAATTAAACATGTACAAATTATCTAAAGGTATGAGACTCAATTCGTGGGGATTAACGTCCGCTTACACCGATGGGGATATCGCAGACAAGTGGTCTTATATTAGTATATTCCACAGGGGTGTTTCCTAAGGGAGAAAATCATGGAGTATTCGAAGTAAATCACAAGTTTGCGACGGTAGCGCTGTCTCCAAACCACAAGCGCTTAAACCAGAGATCGAAACCACGAGCTCGCAAGCCAGAGGTGACCGGCTAGATAGAGCTCTAGACTATAGACCAAACCCCAAGACTCTTTCATTTATATTTGC